AATAGTCAGATTGGTAAATTGGTTTAAAAAATGATAAAACTGATATTAAAAACTGAAATTACTGAATTAATTGGTAAATTACTAAAGTGATAGGTCAATAATTTTTGATGTAATTACTGACTGAAAACTGAAAACTAATCAGTTCAGTTTCATCAGAAAATCATAACATCTGTTTTTGATAAAGCGTGAACTTATTAAGTACGATGAAACCATACATCCAGAAGTATAGTTAATTGGTAATTACTAAAATTGATCAAAATCCTAAGTATTTGCAAATATTTTTTTTATATATATTATTAAAAAAGGTTAAGATTTTAGTTATTTAATAAAAATTATACAGTTAACTCTTGTTATAACGAACTCTAGGTTTCAGACCTCAACTTCGCTATAAGGCTATAATGAAGATTTTAAGAGATTTGATTGGTTAATTCATTATAGTAAGGGGAAATTTATTATAGTTGTCTAAAAAATTCACTATATTAAGAGTTCGCTATATTAAGGTTTAACTGTATTTATTAAATAAATAAATAAATTTTTTAAAATTATATTTAAAAATAATAGTAGTAAAGGCTATGACATATATTAACTAATTTTTTAGAAGATAAAAGGTTAAATAAAATCTTACATAATATAAAATTAAATATTTTTATTAGTTAAAATTAGTATTATATATATATACAGTCAGACCTTTATATACCGATACAATATATACTGATATTTGCTTATACTGATAATTTTTAATTTTCCCATTTTCAATTAATAAAAAAATCTCATTATACTGATATTTTATATGATTTCACAATATAACGTTATTTGATACTATTCCTTTATCCCTCATATAATAACATATATATAGATCTGGTTTATATACTAATATATTAATTATTTAAGGTTAGATTACATAAATGAAGTTATACAATTTTCCCTACTTTTAATTCTTAATGTAATTATATAATTGATTGTAATTATATAATTGATACAATTTTATTTCTAATCTCTAATGTAATATATAATTGATATAATTGATACAATTTTATTAGTAAATTTTTTGAATTTTATAAATGTAGAATAAAGTTGTATGTTTATATGGTATATTAAAATATTTTATACTGATATTAATTACGTTATTTATAATAATATTAGCATATAAAATTTTTTTTATAAACTGATAATTCAATATACCGATGCTTTTTTCCCAAAATAGCAATATCGGTATATAGAGGTTTAACTGTAAATGAATATTATTAATTAAAAAAGATCTTATTTGAGGGTAAGGGGTAAAGCTTCTTATAAAACTAATATTAGCTAACTAAATATATATTACTACATTAACTACTTTTTTTTAATTACTTTTATTAAATAAATTTATATTTTTTTTTTAGATTATAACTAATTTTCACTCAGGATGAAATTGCCTAGGTGATATCACCTGATTATTTTTTTGTTTATCAGTTATTTGTTTATCAGATAATAAATAACCTTTTTTTAACGTTCTTTAACATCCTTCGATTCAACATTTTTTGACATTTTTAATGTCTTTTAACATCTTTTAGCACTCTTTAACGTTTTTTTTTTCTTCTTAGACATTTGAAGGTAAGTTTTTTTTTTTATAATAATTGTTTACTTTTTTATTTGCTATTGTTTCTTAAGGTATAGAGATAAACTGTACTGTACAGTCAGCTGAACTGTACTGTACGAAATTTTTTTTTAAAAATTTATCATACAGTACAGTACAGTACTATATATAGCACTATATTGTACTGTACAATAAAATTGTAAAATATAAAAAAATCGTACAGTACAGTTTATCACTATATTTACAATTGCATAAACTAACAATTATAATTATAAGATAAAGTAAAATATAAAATTTTATAATTTAATAATTGAATATTCGTGAAATACTAATAATTTAAATTATTATTAAATATTAATCATTTCATATGTAAAATGTGATATTTTATTCACAAAATATTTATTTACAAAAGCATGTATAGTACTACATATTATTATTTAAAAAGACTATCGTTTATGGTACATTAAATTTCACATTAATTATTTTCCTAAAATATGATTTCACTTCTCAAGCAACATAATTTCTCTTTCAAGTTTGTCATTTATTTGTTTCTGAAGAAGCAACTTTTCTTGCGCTAATTTATTAATTTTTACTTGTTGATCAAGTAAATCATTATCTATTATGATAATTTCATTTTCATTTTTCTTGTTTCGTGAATTGCCTCTCTGTTTTTTTAATGTACTAGAAACTTTATTTGAAGATTTTAAAGGTTGCTTGCCCTTACGTCTTTTTTCTAAATAATTTAAATAAAGATTTTTACTTAAAATCACCGGGGGTGATCATCACCGTTGGCCAGAATTATCAATTTTTACCGGTACTATATTTTTTTAATGCTAGTCGATTGTCATAATTTTAGTCACTGGTGATCATCACCCCCGGTGATAGTTAGAAAAATTCTTAAATAAATATGTTACAATTTTTATAATATTAAATATATTTAAAATAAAATTATATTATAATTAAAAGTCACCTGCTCGTTTATCAGCTTGGATTGATCGTGCTAATTCAGATTTATTTTGATAAGAATCTGGAACATTATACTGCTCATATACACAGATATTTTCCCATTGTCTTTTGTCAAAATCATGCCCTCTTAAAAATAAATTAGTAAAAATTATATTTTTGTGCTAATAAATAAATCCAATAACGAAAATAATTACCTATAAATTCCTGCAAGGAGTGATAAATTTCACCCATTATGATTAAGGTTGCTTGTCTAAACCTCTTCAAAATCCTATGATTAGTTTCGTCAAAATTTTACTATAAATTTATTATAGTTTTGGCAGAGTTTTGGCAGAGTTTTGGCAGTTTCAGCATTTATAATAAGTTTTGGCAGTTTCGCCTTTCTCTAAAGTTTTGCCAGTTTCTTAATATAACTTTAATATAGTTTCGGTAGAATTTCGCTTTTCGGTGAAACGCCATCTTGCTTAAACCCCTAAGTTTTGGCAAGCAACCTTAATCATAATTAACATTTGCATGAGCACTCTTTCCAATGTTGGTATTATTTGGAGATTGATTCTAAATAGTACGATCTATCTTGGTAAATGCACTTGAAATACCTGACAATACCCATGGAACTAGTTTGTCTTTTGTCCAAGCTATATACAGTCGACCCCCTATATAGTCACCCCCCGTATAATCACAACATATAAAATTCCCCTTTATAAGCACACCATATTTTGGCCCAATGTACTAATAAATATATTAGAAAAACCTCCTCTATAATCACAACATATGACTTTTTTTATAATCACACCCTTTTTTTTCGGTCCCAAGGGGTGTGACTATAAAGGGGGCTGACTGTAATAAATAAATTCTTAATGTTAATAATATAATAATTATAATTCAAAAATTGATAAATTTCATTTAATATTGTTTATTATTACCTACCTGCTGCTCCAGGACCCCAAAGAATACATATACAACTCAGATCCAGACCCAAAATTTTAATATAACTTTATACGTCTAATTTTATTAGAAGCTTTATACAAAATCATCACATAAGTTCAAATTTTATTATAAATTATACAATTATAAATCTGAGTTTATATAAAAAAAAAATTTTTAAAGAAAAATTTCAAATAAATTTTATTGAAAATTTTAATAAATATTATTAAAAACTATTTAAAAATTCTAACAAATACTTAAAAAATTTTTTTAAAAAAAATTATTAAAAAAAATTATTAAAAAATAACTTAAATAAAATTTTTAAACAAAATTGCATGTTAAAATTTTAAATACCCGATAGATATTGATGCCCAATATGTATAATATAGTAAGTTTTATGCAAAAATTTGGGTGTATACTACAAAATAAAAGAAAATACATTTTATTATATATCTCACCACCCAGTGATCGTAAAAAGATGAAACATAGCTCGTTGGATTTGTCTTGACAAGACGAATCGAATGGTAGTAGTTTCGTGTTTCTAGGTGTGATAGATGATGAGCTATACCACACATTGGCACTTTGTATTTTTGTCTACTGTGCATTTTTACATTTTATCACATAACTCGGCATCTATCACGCCTAGAAATATGAAACTACCACCATTCGACTCATCGTATTGAGACGATTTTCTCTATGATCACTGGATGCTGAGATATATAATAAAATGTATTTTTTTTAATTTTGTAAATGAATTTTAAAAAAATTTCTTCATTTTTATTAAAAAAAATGTCTTTAAACGAACCCTTAAAAACTTCTTAAACAAAAAACAATTTCTATTAAAAAATATTTCAAGTGTTTTTTAAAACAAATAAAAAAACTCTTTATTAAAAAATATCTTAAAAATTTCTTAAACAAAAAATAAAAAAAAACTTTAAAAAATTTTAAACGTATATAAAAAAAATTCTAATATCCGTTATACAAAATAAAAATCTTACTTATTGTAAAAATCATTATTGTTATACAAATAAAAATCTGACTTTTTGCGTAACTGCTATTTGGTTATACAATTTCAAACATATGACTTATTAAGAAATTACATAGTAAGTTTATATAAAATTGGATCCCAGTATTATATGTATTCTTTGGGGTCCTGCTGCTCCTGGCTCATCACAAAGTTGTATTTTATTAAATATAGTTAAAACTTCCTTTTGTGTATTTAAGGTAGGAATTAAATACATAGCACTACGAATTTCGCTTGAAAAATGTTTATTTTTATCAATATTTTTATAATGAAAAAAAATTTTTTTATTAATATTAGTATAATTATGCTTAAATAAACAAATTATATAATATTTACCATTTGTAATGTACTTGTTAAAGTTTGTAAATGTGTTGTAAATGTTCAATAGGAGTTAAGTGCGAATACCTTGAATTTAAAAATTGCCTAATCCTAGTTATAAATATATAATTTAGACGAAATTATAATAATTAAAATTACATAATATTTAATCTTACCAAGAGCTTGTCCTTTATGTTAGTCAGTAAGAACACATCCTAATCCTTTTCCATGAATATGGTGAAAATTAAATGTTTCGCCAATATCTTTTTCTACGCATCTAAATAAATCATCAAATAGATTTTGATAAGCTTGAGCGGTTTCAACATTTGTAAATATTCGCACAAATGTTAAAACTATATATATTTAATAATAAATAAGTAATTTTTTTTTAAAAAGAAAAAAAAAATATAATTTAAAAATTTCAACCTACTTTTTTGTATACGAGGTAAATATGCTGAAATTTTCCATTCATTTGTATTACCATTTATCCTTTTAAATGCCATGTCAATTTCCATATGTGTTAGTTCTGAAATAGCCTTAAGTTATTGCTTAGTAACACATAAAATAATATATTGCCCATCATCAAGAAAACCTAAATGTGAGCAATAAACAATTTTTAATATTTTTTATAGTAAAAAATAATCAATAATAATTAATAATACTTATGAATTGATCAAATATATGGATCTGTACTTTTCTCATGTCTCATAAATTCGTGTATAATCCCAATATATTTTGCTCAAATGGATATTGAGAATGTCAGGTTTTTTCAATGTAATAATTTATCTTAGATTGATTATTTAACGATAGATGTAAGTTACTTAATGCTTTTCCATTTAAATAACTTTGAATCATAGATCCTATTAATATTCACAATCATTAAAAAATATGAATATAAATTTATTAGTCTTCAATATTGTTTAAATTATACAATAATTAAATTATAGAATATATACCTGTTAAAAACTTTCTTGTAGTTAAATCAAGAATATACTCATTATCAATTATTCTTTGAAGTTGTGCTTTAATATTATATGGCGTTTTACGTGGTAGTGGAGATGGGTGATTATGTTGATCTACTGAAACAATTGCGATAAATGGACATTCCTTTAAATTAACGGGAATAATATGATAAAATTTGACTGGGTATGGGTTGATTTTTTACTTATAACTCCTTTAACAACAGTATTTCCACATTTATGCAAAAATGCTTTAAATATAATAATAATAATTTATTGATTAATACTTAAATTATTACTAAAGTATTATAAATTGAAATTACTTATGACATTCATCAGATTGTGCATTATTAGGTCGTACAATAAAACATTCATCTATTGTATTATTTTGATCGTTCTATAATTTAAATATTAAATTAATTAGTATATATTTTTTTTTTATAGATTTATATTTATAAAAATTAAATTTTACCTTGAAATCATTATTATGAGAATGATAAAAATTTTCGTTAAACATAGTTTCTAACAGTTCCAAATCAATATTATTTGGAATTGTTAAAAACTGATAATTTTTGTCTCCAGCTTTCCAATTTTCGCATCCAATAAACTTCTTCTTTGATGATATCAAACCATTTACCTGTGAATAATATATTAAAAAAAAATCAATTAAAAATAAAAAATATATATATTTATATACTGTATACAGTCCCCTCTCGATATAATGAACCCTAGGTTCCAGCTGATCAGGGCTTCGTTATAAGCAACTTCGTTAACACTATAACGAATTATTCGGTATTGTATAATGAATTCTTCGGTATAGGAATATCGGTTATACAGATCATGTGACTTGTTGATCTGATTACAGATAATTTAACATTTTTTTTAATCTTTTTTTTATAGGGGTGCTTTCTAAACTTCAAAATAGATGCCTAGAATGAGAAGTAAGTGGGAACTGGGGGGTTTTTTATATTAATTTCGTTTAAAAACATTTACTAATGTTCTTTTTTTATTTTTTTTATTGTAGGAAACTTCCTGGACTTCGAAATGGACGCCTGAGACGAGAAGTAAGTGGGGAACTCAATTTTTTTTATTTAAGAACATTTACTAATGTTCTTTTTTTATTTTTTTATTATAGGGAACTTCCTGGACTTCGAAATGGACGCTTGAGACAAGAAGTAAGTGGGGAACTCAATTTTTTTTATTAATTTCGTTTAAGAACATTTACTAATGTTCTTTTTTATTTTTTTTATTGTAGGGACTTCGAAATGGACGCTTGAGACAAGAAGTAAGTGGGACAACTCAATTTTTTCTTTTAATTTCGTTTAAGAACATTTACTAATGTTCTTTTTTTATTTTTTTATTATAGGGAATGCTTCCTGAAGTGTTCTATATAAAAATGTTTATTATAATTCCTTTTTTTTGTAGGAATGCTGTTTAACAATAACTGACTATATAATAAATAAATTATTAATGATATATTAATTTAACTAGGAGTGTCCTTACCCCTGTGATAAATATAAATTAATAACAATTCACATCGAATCCTAATACAACCGAATTAATGTAAATTAATGTAATTCTGCCTAAATATTAAATAAAATAGCCAGAATTATTAATCCTGATACGATCCTGATACAATCCTGATCCATAATTTAAATATAAAACACAGGGGTGATATTTAATGTCATAATGCATCAATATTTATTAATAATTACATTTAATTATAAAGAAATTCTTCGTTATAACTGAAAAAAATTCGTTATAAAAAAAATCCGTTATATCGAGAGGCATTTTTATATAAGAAATTCACACACTTTACTTCATACTACGTTATACGGTAAATAAATAGTAAACTTCGTTATATCAAGGTTTTTTTCATATTTAAAATCGGTACCACACTGTATGATCCGTTATATCATGTTATTCGCTATATCGAGGTTCGCTGTAGAGAGGGGTGACTGTATACAGTATAAAAATAAGAAACTGCGTGAGTTCGCCTAAAATTAGTCCACTGTTACATCGTTTTCCATTTTTGTTAATATGGCTACATTTATATTTATACGCCTTGGCAAAAAAACTACAAATTCAAAATTAGGGTTAAAAATCAAACTACATATATTTAGACTTTAAAAATCTTACTAACCGAAGTGTAGTTTTTTTATGAAACTCTTCATTTGCATTAAACATATTTTCAAAAAGAGGTGTGGAAAAATCTACAGATGTGTGGCCAATATCTAATTCTTTAGATGTGTATTGACACACTTTTACACTAAGACATTCGCGCTATTCTTTAATTACTGAAATATTTGGAAAAAATTCACAGTTTTTTACTGTGCGAATTGTTCCATTTCCTCCATATGAGTATTAGATATTAGTTAATGCAAATGCTTTTCGCGCTTCATGTTCATCCTATCCTGATATATTAAAAATGCTCGCAAAATCAGTTTCGAACATATTAGGATATTCCTAGAATTCTAAGTAATAACGAATCTCTGAAGTTGTTAAATTCTTTCCAAATTTAGCAATATTTTGAATAGGCCACTATAAAAAATGAAATATAAATTAATCATTATGATTTATACAATACGAAAATATATATATTTTTAGTAATGATAACCAATTTTAACAAAAATAAATACTAATTTTAGTATTTTTAATAAACATTTTTTGGCCTATTTTAGCATATATTAGGCGAATATATTAAGGATAAATTCTATAATTAGAAATTCCAGCATTTGCCAATACTAATGACTACAAATGTCTATTTTACACCTTTTTTAATACTTGATTTACTTCTTCAACAAGTTCTTCATTGATTATTATGGAATCTTCTGCCATTTTATTGGAGATTTATGTTTTACAAGTCTTTTGGACACGTTTTTTTACAAAAAAAAGCAAAAAAAATAAAACAAAAATTTTTTTTTGATCAAAGTTTGATTGGCGAATAGTTATTTTTTTTTTGTTTATTATCACTAGTCGAAATAGTCCAAATCAGATAGAAATCGATCATCTGATTTTAATCTGATTTATAACTCAATTTTGACCGATTTTTTTAAAAAAGCAATATTCCGTTTGGGTTCTGAGTGGTTGCCACTCAGATATAATTCAGAATAAGAAATCAGATATAAATCGGATATAAATCAACAAATACTACTAAATCCGACACTATTAATTAGACATAAATCAACTAAATTTATTATATAAATCGGATATAAATCAGATATAATTCAATTACAATTCAATTTATAAATTCAGATATACTATAAAATATATTATAATACGCAAAACTAAAAATTAGAGTAAAATAAATTCATATATGCTATAAAAAATATAATATAATATAATACGCAAAACTAAAAAAAGAGTAAAATTAATTCAGATATGTAATAAAACATACTATAATACGCAAAACTAAAAAAAAAGAGTAAATTAGTAATAAAATAGAATTCTAAAATTCCAACCATTAATCTTCTTGCATAAAACTTTCTGATTTATCTGCTTTATCTTCCAAAATTGCATCTAAATCTTCATCATTAATATTTAAATCGTCTGTATATTCTGTGTCATATACCATATCCGGTTGATCAACATATGACCAATCGGGAGCATCATCCGGTGGTACTTTATCATAGCATTGTATCTCGTCGTCATAGTTCCGAGGTCGCAATTGCTACGTCATTTGTCCCACTCTTAAATGTTTATCAAGAACATTTCTTAATAAAAGTCTCAACTAAAATGTAAAAATAAATAAAATCAGAAAATGTAAAAATAAGTAAAATTGGAATTAGTGAAAATAAGTAAAATCGGAATTAGTGAAAATTTATAGCAAAATAAATTATCAAGATAAAATAAGTAACCTCTTCTAAGCGCCACGATAGATCATAAACATTAATGACTGATTTTGAACCTTCATCTTCGGTTTCACTCACTTCCGGTGAATGATATGCATGATTTGCCAGAATTTTTAACAGATCCCGTTTTCCATAACTCGTAATTTGGCTATCCTTTTTATTAAAGAGATCTTTCACAGCCTTTATCCTTCGCAATTTTTTCTGATTGATAAATTTAAAATGAGTTAATATGGATTATTAATTTGCCACTGGATTACATTACATACATCATTTAATCTATTATTGGCATGAATTCGTCAATTGTCTATGCTTTCTTTGCCGGATATCCTCAAACTTAACTTAGATCATCGAGATTTATGTAGGCTACTTAACCACCTTGTTACCTGGTTAAAGGATGGTCGATAATTTGGAGTAAGTGATTTTCGGATTTCGGAAATTAATTTACGTTGAATTTTAATGTTTTTTGCACTGTTAAACGTTTCATTGTAGTTTAAGTTATATTTCTCATTAAGTGTTTTAAGATTGATTTCATTTCGATTTAATTGATATTTAGAAAAAGAAAAATTAAAGAAAGTATTATGAAATAATAAAATTAGCAACAAACAGATATGTTAGTAGAAAATTTAGTATAAATTTGTGGAGCCAAAAACGTTAGTTATTGAAATTAATAAAAAATTGGTAGTTCGTAAAAGTTAGTATACGAATTTGTGTTGAAATTAGTAAAAATTAGTAATTGTAAAGTTAGTATACGAATTTGCATTAAATTAGTAAAAAATTAGTAATTCGTAAAAGTTAGTATATGAATCGCGTTAAATTAATAAAAATTTGTAAAAAATTAGTAATTCGTAAAAGTTAGTATATGAATCGCGTTAAATTAATAAAAATTTGTAAAAAAATTAGTAATTCATAAAAGTTAGTAGTATATGAATTATGTTAAATTAATAAAAATTTGTAAATTATCGTAAAAGATGAAATTAGTATTGAAATCAGTTGCAAAAATTAGTATCAAATATGATTGTCAAAACTTAACAAACTCTTGCTTCTCTTTCGTTAGGCTCTTCAGGTGATTCTTCAGTTGCATTTGATTTAGAATCCATCAAGTCGTCATCAACATTTTCGTCTTTATCATCATCGTCACTTATTTGGACTACACTTATTTTGCCCTTGGCTTTTTTCATTTGGAAAGATGCTTGGATTCGATATCATCGATCTCACTTGCTCTGATTTTTTTTTTTAATTCTTCATTTTCTGTACTGAATGCATCGTTAATTTCCATAAGCGTACTGAAATCCTCTTTTAAGCCTTTTAATTCCTTAGAAATATCTACGTTTGTTTTCTCCAACTTCGTATTTTTATTACGCAAATCAGTTATTGTCGCACGTAATTTATGATTTTCTAAAATTTATTAACCAAATTCGGAAACAAACAAACTTTCAATGTAAAGCAACCAAAACAGCAACCAATTTTAGCAATTTTGTTACAATTATACCAGTTTCCAAAGATGGATTATCATCATAAAGGTCTAAATTATGGCGAAGATCCTTTTGCTGTTCTAAATAGGAATCTGGAACCTTGAAATTTTTATATTGTTCTTTCATATGCTGAACTTTTGATTTTGAAGTAACGGTCGATTTGCTAGTGGTAGCAGGCGCAGGAGTAGTTTCGTTGCTAGTGGTGGCAGCAGGAGTAATTTCAGAAATTTCAGAAGCTCTTTTGCTAGTGATGGCTGCGGTGGCAGCAGGAGTAATTTCAGACGGATATTTATAAACTTTGGTAATTTTTTTTTTTCTTGTTGGGACATGGTGAAAGTAAAAAATTAAGAGAAAGAGAAAGAAAAGAAAGATGAGAGAGAAAAAATTCAAAATTTAGACTTTTATAGCTTAAAATCAGTCGAATTAAGTTTTTTTCTTATAAGCTTAATCACAATCAAATTATCATGATATTGTATTTACCGTCGATTCCTTAAAAAATTTTTAACAATTAAATTTATCCCTTAAATGATTAAATGATCTTTTTTATTCTTTTGATTATACGACAAATTTCTTATATTGTTCTTTAAAAAAGGATCTAATTTAACTCTTATGTATTACTTTGATTATATGGCGAATTTTTTATATTGTTCTTTAAAAAATAATCATAAAATGAGTAGACGAAAGAGATCAGTTTCT